TTCTTGTGGTCGTAGACAGATTGAGCAAATATGGCCATTTCATTGCATTAAAACACCCTTACTCGGCCAAGACAGTAGTAGAAATATTTGCAAGGAAGGTAGTAAGATTGCATGGGATCCCCCTGTCGATTGTGAGTGATCGAGACCCCATATTCTTAAGCATCTTTTGGAAGGAATTGTTTAAGTTGCAAGGAACGCAACTCAAAATGAGCACTGCATACCATCCCGAAACGGATGGGCAGACGGAGGTGGTGAATAGGATTGTTGAGGGATACCTGCGTTGTTTCTATTCGGAACAACCAAAGGGGTGGTATGAAATGTTGTCTTGGGCAGAATACTGGTACAATACCAGTTACCAGATATCAGCACGTTGCACACCGTTTGAAACGGTGTATGGTAGGGCCCCCTATCACTCAGCAGATTTATTCCCGGAGAAACGGCTGTGGAAGCGAAGGCACAAGACTTGATGAGGCACTTAAACAATTAAAATTCCATTTAAGTAGGGCCCAAGACAGAATGGCGCACCAGGCCAACAAGAAAAGAAAGGAGATCAGCTTTAAGGAATGTGATATGGTCTACTTGAAAATTAGACCTCATCGCCAGGCCTCCATGTCGAATAGAATACACCCCAAGATTTCGGCCAGATATTTTGGACCGTATCAAGTGTTGTAGAGGGTGGGAAAAGTGGCCTATAAACTCAAACTACCAGACTCAGCTCGTATACATCCAGTATTTCACGTGTCTCAACTAAAACAAGCGGTGGGTGACAAATTGGCGGAGAAGGAATTACTTGTAGAACTGCAGGCAGAAGGGCCAACCTTTTGGCCAATCAGGATTATAGAAGAAAGGCAGCTACAACAAGGAGAAGATGTAGTACACCAAGTCCTGGTCGAATGGCAAGAAGGTGCGAGAGAAGGCGCTACATGGGAAGATAGATTGGTCATCCAAGACCAATATCCGGAGCTCAATCTTGGGGCCAAGATTGTTGAAGAGGGAGGGGCTAATGATAGGAGACTAAGAGTCTATGAGAGGAGAAGGAAGAGTTAGTAGAGTTAGTTACTCTAACTGTCTTAACAGTTAGAAAGGGCGCGGGTTAGACTTGTATATATAGGAAATAGTTATCTGCTGAAAGACACTTTAGACTACTTGTATTCTTTGTACAGGATTCGTTATTCCTGTGGGGGGAGGTTAGGCTCCCATAGCTGCACTGTATCTGACTCTCTTGCTGTTAATAATACGTGTGGAGGTTATTCAGTGTTCAGTCGTGTGTTAGTGAGATTTTCTTTAGGTTTCTTGATTGGAAACCTAACATATTCTTATTTTAAATTACAAAGGGAGAATAGGGTGGGTGTTTTGTTTATATTCCAGTCAAATTCCTGGTGAAATCCATCTTTAAATGAAATCTATGTTCCACATACCTGTAATATTTATCCATGGGCACCTGCAGATTACCACGAACAATCAATTGGACACATGAACAATTGCCAAAGATTGGGCCCTGCCGGCCTTGCTTTGCATTATGCAAATATAGTGCTTCAAATTGATACTCTTGTGAGTTAATCTTTATATTTAATACATTCTATCTCTGTTATTTTATTATCTTGAACCAGGTGAGCTTGAATTTCTATTGTGCCACTTCTCTGTAACATCCTTACTAATTACTTTTAATATTGGAGTAATTAAATATTTGGATTTGACTGTAAACTTATTTATTTTAATCATTAATATTAAGAGGAAAACTCAGCCAAGAATCAGCAGCAAAGCGAAGCATTTGACTTCTACAAGTTTTTGCTGTCATTCCTATCAAACGGTGATAATTTGGTAGAAAATTTCAGTGTGCTTTCAAGTTTCTGATACAAACTGCTATCAGTTTGTTACACCACCTGTGACCTGGACTTGAAAGTAGATGGTCGATCCCCTTTTATAAAGTGAAAACGGATGTACTTGAAACTAGATGATCCCCTTTCAAGTCTTTTGTCAATCACGTTTGTAATGTAATGTAAATAAGAAAATCTAGTAATTTGAAATATTTGAATGCACACTGCCTATAAGAAAAGAAAATATAGTATTTTCGTGGTTAATTTATTTTCAACTTGCCTCAGTGCCCTTCTACAGGTACTTTAAAAATGAAAAAGTAGATGTCGTGCCTTTTTTTTCCATGCTGCATTAGATCCAACACCTATATCATAGCATAGCTGGTGCCAGGAAAATTCTCCGTTTTATTTATTTTTTGTTTTCAACCATGCTTGGCGGTAGTTGAAACTTCCCAATTTGTCAAGGCATCAAACAATATATACCTTCAATTTTCTTTTTAACGGATTGAGTTGCTCAGCATCATGTTCTCATACATGACACATTCTAGTCACAGAACACCTGAGCCTGATCCAGATCATAACGAACCACGGTTCCTATAAAAATAATTTAGGATATTGAAATATATATTCATGAGATTTTGTATGTTTTAATCAGATTTCACATTCAAACCTAGTTATATGATATTGGGATATGATTTGTTCACTAATGATTCCCTCTGCATTTTCTTAGATTGAATTAGGTGTAGTTATATATACTAGTCAAAGTTGTTCAATTTTGTGTCATTCTAAGCAAATACATTTGAGTAACATTCTACTGTGTCCTGTATTGACACTCAGGTAGCCAAATCAACCATGCCTGCTGCAAATACAAAGGATTCACTATATCAAAGCTTGCCTCGTAATATAAAATTAGTTCTACGTTCTAATTTACCATCCTTTCATGTTGCAGAAGAGGTATGATTAACTGCTGATAGTTTCTACTATTACCACTTTGTTAAAAAACCACAAAAAATAGATAAAAGAAAAGTTTAGAACAGACAAAAAGGTTTTAGGTTTAAACAATAACGCCAATCAACCTCGTCATTAACATCAAGTAGTCACTCATCATACTCACTCCTTTCTTCCAAGTGAATAAGTTATTCACCTCTTTGGATGTATCTTCAAGGTCTTCTTGGAATCTTCTTATCATGCTACGAGTGATAGGCCCTTGATTATAGTATGGGCTTGGGTCCAAGTTATAAGCAAGTCTTTGACCAAATTAGGCGATATAGCATGCTATTAAATTCCTCCAAATGTACCTTTAGTGTTAGAGTGGACAAGTTTTTGAGCTTCATGCTAATAGCAATGGGACGAGTAATGTGAAGCTGCCTTCATTATTGGACTGATTAAACCAACGTTAATCAAAAGCCCATCCCTAAACTTATATAAATAGAAGTTTGAGGTAAGAAAGTAGGTTACGTACATCTACGATTACATTGATTATTAACTGTCAAACATTAAGCTAACTTTAGCATTAAGCTAACTTTAGCATTAAGCTAACTTTACCATTAAGCTAACTTTAGCATTGGAGTGTCCTTTACGTGTATTCTCAGGAGGGTTTGGACGAATGGTTTGATACAATACTTAAACTTCTAAATCAGATTTAGATTTTGGACGATACAGCATAACTCGGATCTCCCCGAAACACCAATTATTCTTTCACGAAAGGACATGACTTCATACTTGCCTAGATTGGTTACTCACGACATAACATGATAATATTTAAAACACTGCAGAAAACGCTTAATTTTTGAAGAATAACTTTTCTTCTAGTTTCATCTTTCCATTTTCGACCAAAAAAATGTACTTAATTTTTTCCCTTGTTCTATTTTACTCTTTCCTCATGGTTGTTGTTTGAGTCTTGCAGCTAAGTGTAGCTGATGTAAGAAGGGAGATAAAGAAAACCTTACGTTGGTTGGTCCGCATGGCCACTAACACATCCAAGTAAGATATCTGGCTTGTTGTAAACTAGGTCCTAACTACCACCCATATGACAAGCCTTCTTTAATCATCGGTATATTTATTTACCTCATACAAGTTAATTCTAATCCTGTATGGCCGTTTCTTTTGGATGTTTTAAAATTGGTTCAGAGCACATCATAGATTTGGTTGGCTTGGCCAGTGGGCAAACACAAGGTAAGCAGCAAGTATCCACTGCTATATTTGAGTTACAAATCCTTTACATTTTTCCTTCTTTTTTTTTATATTAATTCTCTTTTTTACTTAAATACTTCTTCCCTCCTTTTTAAAGGTACGAGGTAAACAAAAAGAGTGGTTTAATGTGGATTGAGACATTCCACCATGCAGATAAAGACAAAGTGGAACATTATATTCTTGAAATTCTCTTATGGTTTCATCGCTTGGCCAAATAACCGTTTCTTATGTAGCTATTGGTGGCTGAATAACCGTCCAAATAAATCTTTGATATTAGGAATTGTAACTTATATTTACACATTTTTATGGTCAATTTTTCTGATGAAACAGGACGTGAACACCATATCTTCCTCTTACTTTTCTTTAAGGAAGTGTGCTTTTCTTTAAGGAAGTGTGTGTCATGAGTGTATATTTATACTCACATTTATGCTTTAAAATTAAAATTTTGATGAAATTCATGTGCTTGAATGATTGATTTAAAGAGGATTTGTGATGATTTGATATATTGCGTTTGGAAATAAAAGGGATTTAAAAAATAATTTTAATTGGATAAATTATTCTTGGAAATTCTTATGTTTATTTGTGCAGCTGAAATTATAAGTTCTATTTGGTTCAAATGGCAATTCAAGGCCCAAAATCAGGTTTCATTTGGAAAATAATGTACAGATGGGCCAAACAGACAGATTTTATCCTTGCACCTCCTAAAATCCCTACATACACTCTTATTTCTAAAACAAGCCAACAACCAAGCCCAAACACTAAGCCTTTTCTACTACACCTCCCTAAGTTTCCTATACACATTCCTCCTAAACTAGACTCCACCAGATCATGCCATGTGGCAATCTAAAACCCTAAGTGCTATCCAACCACATGCTGCCACATCACCTCCTCTGCCACATCATCATCTTCTTTAACCCTTCTCCAGAAACCCTAATCCCCTTTTACGCCGCCGCACCACTCTGCCACCACCTTGTCGCAACTGCGTCACTACCGTCATCCACCGATGCACCATCCACAACCGCCGCCGGTCATCATTGCGCCACCACGCCACAGATCCAAACAACCACGCCGCGACGCAGAATGCACCGCCACCGTCAAACCCGCGAGCTCCTCCCTCATTCGCGAAACACCACCATCCTTTCTCGCCGGACCACAACCGCTTCTCGCGCTTCCACCGTGACTACCACTTCTTTCGCTCTGAAACCTCCATCTCCATGCCGTCGTGAAACCGTCGCGACACCACTGTCAACCTTCAAGCCGCCGCAACTATCCTAACCGCCGGCCAACTTCTTCTTTCTCGCAAGTTCCCGCTGCCACACCGCGACCATCTTGCACGGCCACCATCATCCTCATCGACGATCACCATTGCCGCAACCAAATCATGACTCGCACCTCCTCGCATGGCCATCATCTCCTTCACCAACGCTACACCTTCAATTTCGAAACCTGCAAGAACCCTAACCCATATCGAGAAAACTACAACAAAAACCAGAAGAAAATTATGCCACCATGGGAATCGTAAGATCAAGCCATAACATCTTCTCCTCCGTAAGCATTCAAACCTGCAGAGAAGGAGCGAAACCTAACGCGAAGAGAGAATAGGCATGGCGGCAAAGAGAAAGCTCCTTTCCCCCAATCTACAGAACCCTAATTTTGGGTGGGAAAGGGGCTGACACGTGTCAGTTCCTCATTGGACGCGACCTCTTTGGTCAAAGCTGGTCAACAGGGGCTTCTAGTGCAAGTTTGGAGAATTCTGAAGGGGCTAAAGTGCAGATAGAAGAAATTTCAGGACATTTGTGCAATTTTAGAAAATCAGAAAAGCTAAAAGATAAAATTCAGATGTTGAATTAATTTAATTTGGGAATATCAACAGAAAATATCTTCCAAATAATGTTATAATTATCTAAATCTTTTAGTTATTTGTAAGATATAAGAAAAGATTCTGTCAATTGAGTATTCAGAGTCCAAGCCCAATCAAGCCCTATATAAAGAGACCTACGGGAGGAAGAAAAGGACTTCACTTGACTTCATTCATTTATTCACCACTTTTCTCTCTCTTATTTCATCTTGTATCCAACTTCATTCATGGAGAGCTAAGCATCTAGGGCTATTCTACTGTAATTCCATCATGGATTCTGAGGTTAGATTGAGTTAATGCAATTGTTTATTTTGATTATTGATTTAAGTTGTTCTCTCTCTATGTCTTTCATCTCTCTAACAAATTAAAAGCAAAGATATTTGCATCATAATGTGTTTGAATCTACATGCATATTGATTATATGAGTTCTAGGGTTTCTATCTAACTTTAATTAAGAATCTACTTTGAATTTCTTTAGGAACTTTCATATGATTAAAATGGTTTTAAAACTATCATTGAGAATGGTACCTTTTTGATTGGTCAGAATATTTACAACTATAATCAATTGTTAGAATTTACTTGATTGATTACATTTTTTAATGTATGGTAGGCAATTAAGCAATAGAACAATGATTAACAACCAATTAGGATTTGATTGAGAAATGTAACTTTGTTTGTTGAATTCATTGTGAATCAATATAGAACAGGTTTTGCCATTTGATTGAGAATTTACTTTTTGGTTAAGGTGCATGATTTGCCCTCAATTAATAGAATGTACTTTAATTAATTGAAACGTAAATAAGAACAATTGAAACAATTAATCTGTGAATAACCGATGTGAATCTATCTTGGAAAAAAAAAATAAAGTGTGAATTAGCCTTATTTTCATTATAATCCGTTTTGAAGTTTCTTTATTTGTTCTTTAACCTTCTAACCCTCCAAACACATTTTTTTCTGAATATTGGCAATATAGATTGCACTCATAAGATTCAAATATTAAAAGGCCAATTCCGTATTCGTTGGGAGACGACCTCAGGGGTTTACTTTAAACCCCTATCTTTACTTTCCTTTCTGAATGACTACTTGGCATAACTTAAGTTTTTGCCTTGAAAAAGTAGGAGTATTAATTTGATAGCTTCAACGAGTTCTTTTTATCAAATTTGGCACTCTCGTTGTTGGGAAGTCATGGTTAGTATTTTGAATATTTCTTGATTCTTTAATTTTTATTTTTTATTCTTTTTTAAACGCACCATTACATTTGAATTTAATTTGAGTTATTTTTGTAGTCTTTAGTCCATTCATTGTTTTTTTTTTTTCAAAAGGAAAAAAAATCTTTTGTTCTTGCCTTTTAATTAGATTTCTCCTTGAAGAATACTGAGGGCTAGTTTGAATAATACATCTGGCTGAAAGGACTTGGTACTAAGTTGTCCAGTTTGTGACGCACCTTTCTTTCCTAAGGAGTGGACCCCAAACAAAGTCTTCTCTTATCTCTTAGTTTAAATCTTCTCTAAAACAAGAACTAAAGAAAAAAGAGAAGTTAAGAACAGAGAAACAACCTTTCCAAAGTAGACTGCCTAGTGCATGACCAGAGCTAACCTCCGGAGAATTTTTAATCAAATGAACACCCCGGAAGTTGAAAGGAATTTTGCGTATGCTGCGAAGAAGTTTTTGAAATTTTGGGGTGTTGCCTAACTGAGGGAACACTTCTTAAACAATCTGAGGCCAATTGAGCCCATAAAACCAACCTTCATTATCTCCAGTTATAAACATACACATATAATCCTTTACTCTTATCCCTAACCCCAAACAATTATGGCACAAAGAACCATCAGAAGTTTAGTCACCTCCCTTACCCAGAATACAGTTATCTGCAGAAGTATACTATGTGATACCCCTAATGGAGGAGTGGAGTTGAGGACCTGACCTGTTAAATGCCCTTCCCAAAAGTTCAATGGTTATCAAGGGAGTAAATCCACACAAGCACTTGAGCCAATTTCACACGTTTGTGGTTGAAAACCCTTTGAATCTCCCAAGATCACAAATAGAGAGCTTTAAAATGGAGCTTTCCTTTTACACTCCTTAAGGAGTAGCTCAAGATTGGTGGTATTAATTTTTCTGACGTATTACAAATTGGGAAATCTATTGAAAGACTCTTCTTCCGAGGAATATTTTCCGCATCTAGATTTTATCAGCTATACGTAGCAGAGCAATTTCAAGATATAAGACAAAAGAGATTAGAGAGAATCTTAGTGAATATTCGGGAAAGATTCAAGAAACTATGTTCTTCATGGCCCCTCAACCTCCAAATTTGAAGATTTTATTCTAGCTTTATTTCAAGGAAGGCTTAGAGATCCTACTGATAGGTCCCCCATGGGCAGATGCTGCACAAACGGAGGATCTTTTCCTTAGACAGGTTCATCCTAGAAGAATTGGTATAGACTCTAATAAAACGGAAGGCAGTAACAATCAACAATTATGGCAAAAAAAACAAGAAAAATCAATGCTTTGTTTGAAGGAGTGCATGAATTGAAATGGTGCAATATATGGGATAGAAGAATAGCGGTGAAGATATAATAAGCTAGGAAAAGGCAAAACTCGAATCATATTGTAAGCTTGTTTAAAACAAAAAACTCAACTCCCCAAAATTCCTTTAAGAACTGTTGGAATATGCATTTCAAACATTGACCATTATAGACTGATGAAATGGTCTTAGCTTGAATGGGAACCACTATGGAAAACCCATCTCAAGCTTTTTCTGCTGCAGAACAATGATTGTGAGGAATAGACCATAATTCACCAGAATTTATCATACTCATCTCAATAGGTATCAACGAGAATAAACAAACATTATGTCAATCCTCAACAAAGGTCAGCAAACCTCAACCTGAAAATGTTTCACACACTTATTCAAATATCATGCATTTATTTCATGAAAACTAATACTTTTGGAGCAAAAATTCAGAAATCAAGAAATCAATTGTAAGAGTTGACTCTAGAGGGTGGAAAAATGGAAAACTAGAGGATAAGGAGTCACATAAACTACCTGCACAAACAGTGATCAGCCCACAAATGTAAGTGGTATTAGCTTTGAGAACTGGGTAAGCACAGTAGACAGGCCCTGAAGGAGCCCCAAGAGGGAAAATGAAGGATAAGGTACTATCGAAAGAAGGAAGGCACAAATTGATGACAATGGAGGACCATGTAACTCACCCTGAGGACTACCACTGCCTCATACACACGTAATCCAGGTTAGTACTCCTCTAACTCCTTCTTTCTAAAATTTTCCTTCTTTCATCCTATTCTCA